TAGCTCAGTGACCCAGCACCTGCCTGGCAAGCATGAGGTCCTAGGATCGATTCCCAGTACCAGAAAACCCCAAACAAACAGGGCCAGGGCTCAGTGGCAGAGCACTCGGATAGCATGCACATGGCCCCAGGTTCCATGCCCAGCACCACAAGAAGGAAAGGAAAGCAAGAAAAAGAATCACCCTAACTTGTGTCCGGCTCTCACTGTGCCCTTGGCAGGGTGCGCGAGCTCACTGGATATCTCGGTCATCCTGCGGGTACCGGGTACCGGGTATGGGGTATCATTTATCCTACTTCCTAGTCTACTGATAAGGAAATGGAGGCCCAGGTAGGTTAGATGGCCTGTCCAAGGTCACACAGATGAAGGATGGCCGGGCTGGGGTCTGAGCTCAGGCCCTTTTGCTCCAGAGTCCCTCCCCTGCCCCTCGCTGAGGGATGATCTTACAACAAAGATAATGTGGGTGTGTTTTCCCCTCCTCACTTTGAGAGAGTGGGAAGCACCACAACCTGTGGTTCTTGGGAACAGTCCTTTGAAACCTCGTGCAGAGTACTTGAAGAGACTTGTGGGGCACACCCAGAGCTGTCACCCGGTGGCTGGGCGGGGTGGGTCCCCCTAATGACTGCCCTCAGTCAGCCATGACCTTTGGACTTGGAGGTGGTGTGAAAACTTTGAGGCTATTTAGGGGGGAAAAAAGCCTTTCTCGGGTGGGGGATATAGCTCAGCAGCATAAGTGCTTGCCTGGCAAGCCTGAGGTCATGAGTTCGATTCCCGGTACCAAAAAGAAAGCCTTTCTCATTGATTGTGATGGCGCCAGCTTTCCGTTCAGTGTTGTCTTTTTTCAGGTTACAAGCCTCCCCTGGTGCCTGCTTCTGCCTGTGGGAGGTCAGGAAGGACGTGGCGCTTTGAGCCTGTGGAATCTTTAGCCACTAGCAATACAGCCAGGAGCCTAACCCACCATAGCTAAGGTTTTCCAGAGACTTATTGCTTTCTAGGCACTGGGTGAACAATCTTATAAGGAAGGGCCTGTGCTGAGCCCCATTTTACAGGTGAGGAGACTGAGGCTCAGGCAGTGCCGCAAGCAATCTGATGGGAGTGCGTGCTCATTACCATGAAGATGCAGGCCTGAAAATGTAGGTGAAATTTTGCTCATACACTGGAGGGAACATCCTGGGGAGAAATTTGTGTCAGGAACATTTTGTTCAATCAAGAGAAATGTAATAAGCAAGCATTTGCATACATATTTAGCAATCTCCAAAGCACCTCTGGAGGCTCTTTGCAGAGGTGGGAGTTTAAAAAAGGCTGAGGATGATAGCACATGCTGGCAGAGTTCTTCGTCCATGGCTGCCACAGACTCTTGTGTAGCCTGCACTTTGCTGTCTTCTCCACCATGCACATGAAGAAGCAGACACAGACAGGGTCAGAATGCTGTCACCGAAGCACTTATTTAATGCCTTTTTTTTTTTGTCTTTTTGTTTCGTTTTGTTTTTTCTGGTACCAGGAATCGAACTCATGACCTTGTGCGTGCCAGGCAGGCGCTGTGCCACTGAGCTAAATCCCCAGCCCCAGCACTTATTTAATGCTCACCGAAGGCCAGGTACTACGCGAGACTAGATTCCTGCCACCTTCCAGGGCTACGTGATACCAGGCTCTAGCACTCTACACTTAGTATATGTGTGCAGGCAACTGAGTTCAACTTCCGGTCTCACCTTTTAACACTTTCTTCCCTCTGGCTGGAAGGAAAGCCAGACCTGCTTGTGTGCTGAGGTCACTTGCACACACCTACCTCCTCAAGGCTGTCCTCAGTTTGCTTGTTGGTTTGTGCGGGTTGTGTTTTGTTTTGTGTTCTAGTTTTCTCAAGACAGGGTCTTGCTACGCAGTTCAGGCTGGTTTTAAAACTTACTATGTATCCCAGGCCGGCCCCAAACTCTCAGTGATCCTCCTGCTTCAGCCTCCTGAGTGCTGGAATTGCAGGTGTGCACCATGCCAAGCTAGTAGAGATGTAATTATGAGCAAAACAAATCCAGTTCTGTCCTCATGGAGTTCACTGACCCTTGAGGACATAAAAATTGGCTGGAGGTGGTGGCGCACGCCTGTAACCCATGCACTCGGAAGACTGAGGCAGGAGGACTGTTGCGAGTTTGAGGCCAGACTGGGCTACAAAGTGAGCTTGTTTGTTTTGTTTTTGTTTTTGTTTTGTCTTTTTGAGACAGGCCGTGAGCTCACTTTGTAGCCCAGGCTGGCCTTGAACTTGCAACGGTTCTCCTGCCTCAGCCTCCTGAGTGCTGGGATTACAGGCGTGCACCACCATGCCTGGCTACAAAGTGACCTTGAAGGCCAGCCTGAACTGCATAGCGAGACCGGGTCTCAAAACAACAAAAAAATGATATAAAAATCATATAAATATGTATTTGTGGAGTGACTGAACACACATATATCTGTACCTGTATTCCTGTCCAGTTGACTGTACATGTACACATGTACTCTTAGAAAATATATGGTGTGGAGCTGGGGATTTAGCTCAGTGGCACAGCGCCTGCCTGGCAAGCGCGAGGT